GTGAGTTCCGTTTGGTTGCCCTCAATAGGTACTACCCGGACCAGCATAACTAGGATGTAAAATTCAAGAACTGCATTTTTCTGTATAGACATTTTTGGGGGGTCTCCACCAACTCGGTGGACTTCAGTTTCATACAATTACTAGTAGAGAAATGTTTGTTGCCCCTTTCAGAGTATTCACAGTGCTTCAGAATAACTCAGGCCTTTCTTTTCCCTGCTGTGCAGTCCTTGACTTATTTGGGACTTCTGAGTTGTTTTACGTACTATCTCACAGAGTGGAACCAAGAAGTTGTGTCTCCTATTTCCACTAAGATCTGTGTAACTCTGTGCGACTTCTTCCCCTTAAGATGTTGCATTTTCTTGGGTGGTCCCAGCATTGCACAAGCTTCCTGGAACTGCTGTTCACTTCTCTAACATGTCAATCACGCCATCCTACCTGTGCCTCCTCTCTGCTTCAGCATCTTCCCCATTTGCATCCTTAAGTACGAGCGTAAGCAAGCCTTTGGGATCCTGCAGGTCCTTCTTTTCAAACTTTTTTCTGGGCCCTCTGCTTAGTGTTGCAGACTTAGTTGCAGCACACTGTCGTCTTTCTCAGTTGTTGTTTCTGGGCTCCTCCTGTGGGAAATGGTCCCAAAGAGGAAGGAAGATTTTGCTTGGTGGGGAAAAAAAAAAAAAACAAAACCAGACACAGTTCAAGCTTCAGCCTTGAAAATTTGACCTTTAGTTTTAAGACATTTGGATTTAGATTCTCAGTAATATCTTACCCTGAGTAACGGGCTTACCACTCTGTTTGTGATTTGAGTGCCGAAGCAGGACACTAGCAGTAAAAGAGAAAATGCAAATAAAAAGAGGTACTGCTTCCAAGTACAGAGGCAGGGCTAACTACTAAGTTGCCAAACTGATAAAGTGGCAATGAAGGCTTGAATGGCAGATCATAGTGTCACCCTGCTAAAATATAAGATATCCAGACAATGGTAAAACAGTGTTTGTTACCATCAGAAAATATGTTTTAACTGATATCTTAATTTTATTGGAAGCAGTTTTATGTGATTTCTGGTAGAACAGCAACAGAGTCAATTCCCTCTGCTAAATTAGTAACTGTTTAATTCAGTGTGATTGTTTAATTCAGAACAAGAAACAGCAAAAGCTGATTGTAACCTTAAATTTAATAATAATTAATTGTGGGACAGCAAATCGTTACTCAGCTCAACTGCAATTTCAGAGTTCCTCTCAACCCTGTCTCCTTGCTTTGTCCTTCTCAGTCAATCCCCTTTATAAAAAGCCACACTGTATCCTAAATCCATTTTAAACTCTTGCCTTTTATTGCCCTGTCAGTTTACAATATAGCTCTTTTGTTCACTTCGTCCCCCAAATTAAATTTCTGTGGACCAGATCCTCAGCCAGCCTAAGCTGGTGTAGCTCTATCAACAACCCCCGCTCTGCTGATCCAGATGATCGAGCCCCCTCCTATTAATCATTGGTCCTTTCCCCCATCCCCCAGGCAGATTGCACGGTGTTGGCAGGGTTCCTGTATCATCTGTGCATTCACTAATAACACTATTCAGCATTTATTGGGCCAGTCTGGCTCTCTGCGCATTCAGCAGCAAAGCTGCTATTGATTGCATGATGGGGAAGCAGAATTAAGCCGTGTAAAGTCACATTACTTTGTATTCTGAGAGGTCCGCGCAAACTACAATGCAGTTAATTCACTAATGGTTTATATTCGTCTTGCTTGTGCCACAGTGAAGAGAAAATGTTTCAACGCTGCCGGGGGGGTGGTGGTTTGTATGATCATTGTTCGGAGGATTTGAGAGTCACGTCACAAAAGGCAAGTTGTGGGCTATGGTCCAACAAGGACACACCTTAGTAACTGTAAAGCACGTTGCCAGAGACCTCCATGTTACGGGAGGTAAGATTATAGAGTCTATGTTGTCTGATTAGATAGACCAAATATAATTGCCAGATAAAAACAGTATGAAGGACAAACTATTTTCAGCAGAAAGAGTGAATATGATCTCACTTACACCAGGTTACACCATCTATGCTCTTGCTTTCCATGAAGAAGAAAGTTGCACCAGGTCCATTACATTTTTAATGAAATGCTACTCTAAAAGGGTAACCAAATTATTAACATAAACCATATATGCTTTAAAGAACAGAACTGAATGATTGCCGTATTTGGCTCTAAATCAACTTTAAGACTTAAAATTTTGAAGAGTATTAGTGGGGACTATAATGCTTTCTAAAGTCTTTCATAGGGTTTTGTCAATGACAGCAGGCATGTATATTTTAATGTAATAAAATCTATATTTTAAAATAATACAGAGTAGCTTTAAAAAATGAAAGGGTGTTTGGCATTTTGCAGTTCATGTTTTGTTTCGGTTTTTAAATGGTGGTGCTTTTACCTAGCAAGAAAAATATATTCTTCACAGGATTTAAAACATATTGAACACTAAAAAGTCTTAATTCAAATATTTTCATCATGTCAATTTCTACAAATTTGGAAAGGTTCTGAAAAATTTGCAAAGCTCATCCATGCAATTTCTAAGGAGCGTATTCCTTAAATTAATTAATTATCTGTAGTTATTTTAGGAGATTATTTTGAAAGTGTTTTAAAGAGTTTAATACTATAGCATTGCAGTTTAAACTACAGTATATAACAGTACAGTGTAGCAAAATGCATAATTACAGATGTAACTGACACCAAAAGAATGGCATTTGTAAATACAGATACAAGAAAATACCCCAATCTCATTATCACTGATATGTAAATACCCACCACAGAGAAACAACCTGGGCTTAATTTGTTAATACTGTCTAAAAAGAGAAAAACATGAAAAAGTCAAAGAAGTGGTGCGTGGTGACTTCCTTCCTCCCCAGCCAAATTACTTCTCCCTGAAACAAGCGTGACAAAAATCTTCATTTTCCTTGACTTACATTTTGGAGCACAACTTGGTTCTGTTTCCACGGTAAGGACAGTCTTACAGATTTAATATCCATACTTGTCATATAGGCTCTTAATCCTGTGAACATTTAAGTGCAGAGCTAGCTTAATGCACAGAGTAGCCCCCGTTACTTCAGTATGTGTTTTCTGCATGTGGAACATCAATGAAACAGAGCCCTTGTTTTCACGGTCATTATTTTGGAGTAACCATTGCTTTTTTTTTTTTTTTTTGACTAAATTACTTTTTACTACAGCTGCAGTTCCCTCAATCCCAATATTTTTATGCAAATGGATTTGTAGCCCTGATGTGGCTTCCCAATACGAGTACATTAAATTTGAATGCTCTCCTATTCCAGCTAAGAATCTTCAGGGAGTTTCTGGCACGTGGGCCAGGGGACTTGTGACCTCTGCATTGGCCAGGGACTTTTTCCCAGGCAGTCCACAGCTCCACCGAGCTCCTCAAAAGCCCGCTGTCATCTTCTTCTCCCCCTGCGATAACCCTACCCTCTTTCAGCATCTCGTCCCGCCCCGCGGTGCTCCACGCCATGCTGTCCCAGCTGCTGCCTAAGTCTCATTTCATTCTGCGCTGTGCCCCCTTTTGCCCTCCGTTGCTCACCTTCCCCTCCTCTTGCCTGGCTGAAACGGCAGAGGAGCTCAGTGTGGAATAGCACGGGGGTGACTCGGTGGCTTTGCATAGGGATGGGCACGCTGCTTTGGACCAGCACGTGAGGCTGAAGGACCCGCACGTGCAGAGCATGACTGGGAGGGGAGCTGAGGCTGGGTGAGGAGAAAGCAATTCGCAACAGAGAGGTGGTTAACGAACAGCTTAGAAAAAGCATTTAGAAGTCGCACTAGGCCCTCAATAAAGAAAAAAAAAAAAGTTAAGACTCCTCCATGAGTAAATTTCAGCCCCAGACACGTCCAATTGTATGGGTATTTCTTCAGGGTATTCCACAAAAAGCATCCGTCAGCTCCAGTGGCAGCTTCAATAATCCAAACAGCTGCATGGTTAGGAGCCCAGAACTATTGAATTCCTATACTTCACACTGTTCCCTGGCATTTGTCAACTGAAAAGCTTTTGGCTTAGTTTATTTCAGAGCAAACCTTTCCCTTTGTCCCCCCAAACACGTTACTTCTTGGATCTGGAGGGCCAGAAATATTGCTGTAATCACAGCACCAGGAGAGGAGCCAGCCTCTGACAGCCCTGTGAACCCAGTGGCAGTGTGATACGCTTTCTGCCTGTCAGGTGAAGCACTTGATTCCTCGCCTTACAGAATCCTGACAAACTTTGAAGGTTGCTAGTTTGATGTCCAGCCATGACAAGGGACAGTTTTCGCTACAGGATATGGAATCCAAGCTTCCTGAAACTGGTAAAGGAGCATCTCTGGTACTAGCAAACAGAACTGCTGAGGAGCCTCTGGTTTGCTGCGTTTTTCTAAGATGTAAAATGGAAAAAAAAATCCTTTCTCTACTTGGACTTCCTCTACTAACCTTTATGCTTGAGGTTCTCCAAAACTTGAGGGTTTTCTACATTATAAAGGAATAAGCTGCCTGTATGGATGACTGTGCATATAGTAAATCACTCTGAAAACAACAAAAGCTTATGTAATGTGAGCCTTAAACACTTTAAGACATGGTCTGACCTTACCAAATCGTCACCTAGTGGAAACAATAGCACTCCATTGTCTTACAGGAGCCAAATTTGTTTCCTCAACTAAGAATCTATTCCACTGACTTTCAGCTCCTGCGTCAAGAAGTATTTTGTATGCGTTTGCTTCTCTGTAATGTGAGTTGCATTTTCTTGGCTATTGAAAGTAACCGAGAAGCAGAGAGAATAGGGTCTTTTGAGCACCTTTTTCACATGTTCACATGCTGCCTTTAATCACATTTGCAGGAAGATGTCAGCCTTTCAAGTACTGCTCTAAGGACGTCAGTGGTGCTGTGAGACCAGCTCTCTGTACTGCCAAAGGCCATGTGACTGTCTTTGCCCATCAGAATACGTAACCAGGAAATTATTTTTAATATGGAAACTACTTTCTTTGGTTTTTCTGCTTTAGGCTCTTCAGACATACCAGACTGATCCTGCCATGAGAAAGATGCTAACTCAGCTGTATTTCTATATCATGCCTGTATTTAATGTGGATGGATATCATTTTAGCTGGACAAATGTAAGTAGTATTGGTAGTCTTATGCAAAAAATAATTCAGAAAGACATGATCGAATGGTTGCTACATCAGTCAAAGGTGGCTTTCTGTATAATCTGATCCATCACTTTGTGGCATGCAAAATGGAAGTAAATGACTCCAATTAAAATATAATACTGAATATCTTTACTAGGGTTGCTTTGTTATGTGTACAAATAGATTTTTGCCAAAATATAGTAATACTGCTATTTAACTATTTTATAACTTATGTTAGGATCGATTTTGGAGAAAAACAAGATCAAAGAACACAAGGTTTCGGTGTCATGGTGTTGATGCTAATCGCAACTGGAAAGTGAAATGGTGTGGTAAGTCAGGAGATACTTTGGTCCACCAGTTCAGATTACCTGCATTTAATTATCGAACAGAGTAAGTAGGTTAGATCACATCCGTTGTGTTCTCTTTTTCAGTTAAAGTTGAAGTTTCCCATAAAGCCACAATCCAGGCCTCAAATCTTCCTTCTAGCTTCTAAAAAATAAAAGTCCTGAACTTTGGAAAGACATATCTCCTCGCAAGTAAAAAGTTTTCATGGCAACTGTGGCAAAAGTAAAAAGATGCACATATAGCTATTCTGTATTTCTGCAATCATGTAAATAATTTGAAGCACAGGATTGAGCCTGGCCCGTCACCTTTCAGAATTTACCTGACTACAGCTTTAGGAAGCATTTCAAACTTCATTTAATTCAATTCATCATTTCTCTGAAATGGCTTTAGCTTTGGAAATGTCAGACTTGCTTTGTTGGCCTCACAGAGAATTGTATGAGAATATTTTAAGGCCATTATTATTTGTGATTCAATAAAGAAAGAAGGTGCTTCTAAATGCATGGGGATCCAATTTTAAACTCCCAGCACTTCTGTAAATACTTTCATAAAAATTGACCTCAATTTTGCATTGAGAATGCAGCAGTAATGAAATACTAAGATTTGGAATGGGTCCACTGAAGAAGAAATGGTATTTTATTAAATCTTACAGCGAGACAGTGCAACTCGCACAGGAGTAAGCAGCCATACAAGTTCTGGTGCAGCAGAAATAGCACTTTGTTGTGAAATACTGCGGTACATAACCTGTTTTTTTTCTGCTGACCTGCTCTCCCATCTTGAGCAACTTCCTTCACCTTTCTGTGCAGCTGTTTTCTCCTCCAGCATTTGTCCACCTTCCTTATTTACATTATAAACTTGTAAAGACGGAAGTTGTGTTTGCATAGCGCTAGCGCAACGGCCCTCCCTTTAGCCCATCCCTCTTCCACTGGGAGTCTCTAGATGTTTCCACAATACTCCGATTACTTGTAGTCGGACTAAGCACTGTACAGTCTGGCCTGCAGCAATTGGATTCTTTAAGTAGATTTTTGAGAACTGTAAGGATAAAAGTGAGCGTGAATAATCTGCCCGGGGAGATTACAAATGAGGTGAGAGTGAACAGAAGCATACATTCAACGCAGTATGGACTTGCGAAATAAGCTTCCATTTTTTTTTCGACTCTACTCGCAGAAAGGAGAGGACTGACACAGAAGCAGTTACAGAAAGCTTATGTTAGCTGAGAATCCCTCCACTACGCAAGACAGTCCCAGGGCTGCTATCACTATCTCTAAGGCAATTTTATGCTGCAAAAGTAATGTAAAAGTGAACCAAAGTCCTGCATCACTGTTACCATCTTTTACTTAAGTGTGTAAGTCACAACTGCAGGTATTTTGGGGACATAAATTTACTGTTCAGAAGCTAGCCACTGGCGTAGTTGGAATGAATAGTTCTCTTACAAAGTCTTCAGAGCCATGTTATAGGTACCTATCAGTGCAACGTGAATACTTACACAGCGCATTTTCCAGCTCTAATGAATCTTTCTTGGGTTCAAATCACTCTGCTCCTCCCTCTTCTTGCTCCCCAGATGCTGTATTAAAGCACACTTCTTTACTCAGTCCTGAAAATCTTTGCTTAGTTTTCAGCAAAAAACATTTTTTCTAGGCTGAGTGAAACTATAACAAAACACACGCACATTGTGTGTTGTAATCCACTACTTGTTGCATTTCTCACCTGCACCGAACATCAAAGACAGGTCCTCAGCCCCAGTTTAAAAAAAAATAAAATTATTCAAGGTTGCTTGTCATCCCACTAAGCACATGCTCTGCTTCCCGCACCGGACCCCAAACTCCATCTGATTCTCTATTTTGCCATAGAATAAAGAGCTCTTTCATGAACTGGGCTGACTGGTGCTCAGAAGATGCTCACCCGGCGCCCTGTATGCTCATTAATCTGACACTAAATGAAGCAGAGAGGAATCTGGATCATATCACACTTTGAGGCTTGTATAATCATGGTGTGTTTAACATTTAATACTACCTATGCTTGTAAAAACCTTTTAATTCAGTTCAGTCGCACTTCCAGTTTGCAGATAAGGCTTGAACTTCACTGTGGGGCTTCCAGGCAGGTGTGCTGTGGCAGAATCTGGCCCCAGCAAAGCCACTGAACGCTAGCGGCAGTGAGCGAGTTGGTAAAGATAACACAGCATCCCTTCTGCTTCCCTCTTCCCTTCTAGTGGGGGAGGACTTTGATGTAAGCTTTATGATGTTGCTTCTGTAGTCTCTAGAGGCCGAGAAAAGGGCCATATCACTGACTGTGGTAGATTTCGCTTTACAGAGCCCTGTGCTCAAAATAGCACACAGAAATTGCACACAGACCCAGGTGAATACTGACAGCAAGATCTCTGGGTAGAAATGCTCCTTGCAATATATATTTATGCGCAATAGCTAGCACAATGGTTTAACATTCACGAAATAAATAGCAACTTTAAAGCCAATAATGAGGTACTTACTTAGAACTAAATTATGTCATAGCGCAAATCCAGTTAAAGGGGTTGCATCTGAAGCCCCCAAGAGAGCAGCAGTGGGAGTTAATATTTCCAGTGCATCCCAATTTCCAGTGCACCCCATTGCCCACTGAGGACAGTTCCCCATGCTGGCAGAAGAATCGGCTGCAAGGAAGTTTGAGAATCATGCTGCAGCTCATCCATCCTTCTGTACCAAAGCATCGGTTTTATCAGCCTCTGCACACATTTCCTTTGTACATTTGATGTGATGATCGATGCTGGAGAATACTTCTCCCCCAGTATGCTATCAGGTACAGAAATAAGGCAGCATGGTGATATTTTATGCAATTCCATTTTCTTCTCATGTCTGTAACTCTGAAATTTCACAGGAGTTAATACGTACTGCATTGGGTTTTTTTCCTTCTTGTGTGACTTTAAAAGAACTTCCAGTATGAAAGTTGCGAATATCCTTACATTATCCAAGGCCACCATGGAAACCCTCACTTTTTACTACCAGCCAGCTTCACTTAAGGAAAAACATTAACTACAGCTGAGATTGCAAATGGCTCGTGGCAGTAGGCTGGACAGTTTAGAGATTTTTTTCTTCACTGAAAGTCACTAAACTGAGTCATATATTACCATTGGGTCATTTTACCATTAGATTGTAGGTTTCTGCTGTTTATTAACAGTGATGTCCATTTCCATGATTCAGTACACAACACTGTTACATGAGATGAATTATCCATGAAAAAAAAAAAAAAAGCAAAGGCTCCAGAGGGTCTGTTAAATAGTTCTCCTTTAGCTATATTATCTGACAAGACATTGAGGCAGACTGCTCTTGGGATTTGGATGACTTGGTGGCCATCTGTTCTGCAGGGAGGAGACCATCTGCCCTCTATATAACCCTTCCATATCCACTGCAATCTAAGCACTAATACCTTTTGAAATCCCCACCTGTGGCCATTGAATGGTAGCCTCTATTTTCATATTACAAATGAAGCTGCAGCATGAAATTCTTCCACTATTTTTGGCATTAGATTGACTACATAACCCTGTTTTAGTTCATATTATTATGCCTTCTCACACACTACTTCTTTCTTATTATTTGGAGATGGGAGTAGTTACTATACAAAGGAAAGCTAATAAAACACTGCTTGTGTAAGTCCCTGATGACACCAGGGAATGTCGCAGACAAACTATTATTATTATGCGGGTCAGTGTAAAACATGTGGCATTTTGAAACCACAGTGGATAAAAGAGCAGAGTGGATTTGCATAAATATTGTTCTTTTATGCCCAGGCCCTAAGCTGTAAATGAGACAGTGGCTTAGATCCAGAATTGCTAAATGATAAAGGAGCCACTGCCACATCTCCTCTCCTGAGTTTCGTCTTTCAGTACCTCATGGGATACTACATGCAGGCTACACTTCTGCAGCTTACTGCCACCTGAGCAGGTTGACACAGTGAAAGATATCCTCACAACTGAACCCCTGCACCAAACTTAAAGGAAAAATAAGTCCTGTGCGAACTGAGACAATTTCTATTTTAGCTAACTGAGCAATCATCCCATGCGACTTGCCATTTTTTCCTATAAGGTTGGCAAGAGTGAAAATAGGCAGTAGTCAGGGACTATTTTCATGTTTTAAACCAGTCTCTGAGATAATGCCTGTTGAGGTTATCTATCTGCCATTGTAACTGTCACTGTAGTAGCTGGTACGTTAAAATGCTCTCAAAGGCTAGATTTGTCTTGGCAGTGACTAGTGAAAGAGGTATAGCACTCTGATTTCAAATAGACCTACGGAGACCCTTCAATAGTTCTAATACGGTCATATCATAAAATGCTGTCATAAAATGTGCCCCTCATATGGAAAGCCAGGAAAGAAAATACAATGAAGTCAGGATCTCCTTTTCTGGTGGGTTAAAAATATGTCTTCTGGGGAGAACTGCATGTAGTTGGCCAATTGGCAACTTGGTGTGTCTACTACATGACTGAGCAGATTGCTGTACTGAGGTCCCACTGGCTTATGCCCCTCAGTCACAAGAAAGCAATTTGTTTATTGCTTTTCACACTTTTGCATGCGGGCCCACGCAGGCTCTTCCAGAAGTTGATCCTTAGAAATTCTCCGTGATCACTTACCATCAACTTTCTTTTTCAACCTCTAGATGAAGGTGCTTCATTTCACCCATGCGATGACACCTACTGTGGTCCCTTTCCTGAGTCCGAGCCTGAAGTAAAGGCTGTTGCTCATTTTCTCCGGAAACATCGGAAACAAATAAAAGCCTATTTGTCCTTCCACGCTTATGCACAGATGCTGCTGTACCCTTACTCTTACAAATACGCAACTATTCCAAACTTCAGCTGTGTGGTAAGTACATTAAAACTTGGGAGAACATGCTTTCCTATAAAATATATTTTGGTACTTTTTATTTTGAGAGGAGACTTATTTCTTCAATACTTTGCACATATTTAATATTGAGTAGTATTTATCCTGGTTCCACTTGCAATCGCATTTCTGGTTATATAACCTTCATTCAAAGTGAGTCAGCGGTAACTTGATTAAAATGGTATAGTGCTTTCCATCCATCAGTCCCTTTAAATTACATTATAGGATAAATCCCTGGGTTTTAATTATAGTTATTATCATTTTATTTAATTAACTGTAATGGGAATTGTGTAGTTAAGTCCTTGGGCGTCTAGCTGAAATTCTGTCCCTTCATGATCAGAACTTAAACACTACAAGTACAAAGAAGATTATCTTCCATTTTATGAACAAAATAAAATCAAAATGGTTTATATTTATCAATTAGAGAAGAAATCTTGTAGATATCGCCAAAAGTAAAGCTTCTGTTGCTTTACGTATCATCCTACTCAGACGTAGTGGTTTTACCCCTTTAAGACAAGCAGTTAATTAACATCAGGTACGTTGGAGTTTTTGTCTATTAGAATAAAAGAATAAAAAGAAATAAAGAAGAAAATAATAAGAGTATGGGTTTTGATGCAAACCTATTGATTTACAAATATGTACCTTTCGTGTTCCGTGCTTATTCAAACGCAGGAGAACTATTCCCTCTGCTCACAGTTTGAGGTCTGTTCTTAGCCAGCCTCCTGTATATAAAACCCTCCCTATGGCTTATTCTTTTAGGGAAATGTGGCTCAAGCTTTGTTTTCTGTTCGCTCCTGCTCTCAGACACACATTGCACCCACCAACTCTTTCTTTCACCCTCATTTCCAGTAAAATTACATTGTCCATATATCTCCCATTTTGACCTTACAAGTTGCAGTGACATTTAACTTACTAGTTTAAGCTAGTTTACTTCAAAAGGAGCTTGACTGCACCTTAGATTTATCCTGTGCAGAATAAATGATGTTGTTAGTCCCTGGAGCTTCACTGAATTTTCACTCAGCTGCCCTCTCAGGAGGCTGAGCGGCCAGCGCTCCACAAACTAAACCCTCTTTGTGGGTTTATTTCTGTTAAGACACTTCATTTCAGCAGCTACTAAAAATTCTCCTGTCTGATGTCATTCTTGGGAAACAGAGCAAATTACAAGTTAACTAAGCAGCAAGAGGAGCTAAAAATATGAGACTTGTGGGTATTGGCCACCCAACCTTGCATTGACTGTGAATAAATCCGTGAGCCTTCTTTTCATTCTACCTTCTCCACCCTCTTTTGGTGTGTGGCAAAGGGAAAGAAGAGCTTCCCGAGTGAATTGGTGACTTACTTACCAAAAAACATAGACTGGGAATTTAAAACCACAGAATCTCATTCCTTTGAAGACCAGCAGGTGCAAGCATACTTTTTTAAGAACAGACAAGACAGCAGAAGTTAAAGACATAGTGTTAGGAAGAATGAGCATCAGCTCTGCAAGAAGATGACTGTTGGGTATCTTGATGAAAATACCCAGAGCAACCTAAGGCAACAGCAGGAAATTCATTGTGAGGAAAAGGAGTCTGAGAGTTTTCACAAATACCAGTAAATCTTCAGTATATGTTGTTCTTGTTGCTAAAGGGCTATTTCCACTCTAAGACAGGGAGTAACTGCCCCTCAGCACACACACTCTACCCTTCCAGCCATAGCTTTTAGACCAAAGAAACCCAGCTTTTGATGTGTAGGAGGTATTCCCCAGGTTTGTAAGACCCTGGATCAGGCTTCTCACCAAAGGGAGTGGAGCACAGACCTAAAGGGACAAAGACAGACACTGTTTTAGACAACAGCCCTGAACAAATGGAAGCCAAATCCCAGTTCTAAATGTTTTGCCAGTATTTGGACTCCATATTTCTTTTTATTGCAGTAGGTCAAAAAGAACAGGGAGGTCAGAATAAGAAACTGAAGTAATTTCCTGTTATTTAGAAAGCTCGTTATGGGGATCATAGTCAAAATGAATGGAATACTGTTGCTTATTTATTTGTGTTTTTTAATACTTGCCTACAGCCAAAGGCTCCATCCCCTGGTGGCTCTGAAATGAATAGTCTTTAATATTTGAAGTGTCTAAAATGGTGACTTAGGCTGAGGTTTCAGATTCTCCAGTTCTCTGGGAGAATTACTGTGAGCTGGAAAGCAGCAGATCTCTATTTCCTACTGCTGATGGAACAAGCTCTGTTGTTCTACACGCACTCTGTACAGTGGACAACTGTATGACTCCACGTGCATAGCGGACAAATAACATTTGGTGCTAACAGGGGAGCACAATTAATTCTGAGCAGAAGAAAGGATGTTTCTGTCTGGGTCGTATCATTCTAGTGAGCTGTCAGTTACCATTTCGATTAAAGTGTTCAATTATTCAGAGTTGCTTTGAAACTGGAGAGCTGTGTAGTGATCACAACATGTATATTCTGTTCTAATTTAGGCACAACTCTCTTATTAACACTCTCCTGAAATCTGTTCTTTTAAGATACTTAAAATGAAAGTGCACTTTTAGATTGAAAAAAAAAACAGCAGAAACATTCATCCACCTCAAGAGTTTTAAATTTCACCCACTTTTCATCCCTTTTCTTCCTTGTAGAGCTGTTTGCCTTAGTGTTTGCAGTGAACTTGTATGGCGCAACTGAGTTCATGTATGTCTTTGTAAAAATCTGGTACTTTTATGTGAAGCTTTCTCCTTGAGGATGTTCAAAGACTGGTTGCCCAGATATATTCAGGATCTGACCTGCACAGTATGATGCAGTTGAGAACTGTCCCCTTTTTCGGGCACATAACTCCAACAGTGGGAGCAAGCAGAAACCCTCAAGGCTAAGAGCATTGAGTTCACAGTGCCCAGAGACATCTGCCTACGTGGTGGACGTGGACTTGGGTCACTCCTGTGCTGGCCTTTAGGCAGTTGCTGCGTCTGCACAGAACCCAGTACTGTTGTGCTGTTTTTAAATGGGCATTGCCAAATTATTTCTTGAGAAAGATTTCAACAGGGCTTCCTTCTATTGTCTCATTGATGTACAATGAGTAACTCATGCACAGGGAGTCTTCTTTGTGGCTATGTTCTCCTTTCCATGGTGCATTTACTAGGATATTGCTGTCCACCTATCTGAGCCCCCTTGGCTGAGCCCACTCCCGTGGCATCAGGCCTATTGTCAGGCTGTCCCAGCTCCACACCGCGGCCCCAGGATGGTAAGCGCTGGGCACAGCTGCTTGCCAAATATCTGTTGAGCAACTGAGCCTGGTAATTGGGGCTTCAGCACAGGCACCAGACATCAGCCCCGGGCCGCAGCTGGAGCTCCTCACTCCCCAGAGCCCTACGAGGCCCCACTGCCACTGCTGTGGCCTCGCACTGCCACCTCGCCACCCTCACAGGGTCCAATATCTCCAGCCTTATCACGGGTCTTGTGTGTCCTGACTCACAGAAGTTGAGGCATCTATGAGAGGAGGGAGAGTCCCAAGCAACAGCACTTCTCTCTTCCTCAGACCTCCCCCCACGTCCTCATCTTTGGTGTCAGGGTGAGTCAGAGGTTGCCTGTCTGCACTGGCTGGCAACAACATCCCACCCTGGCAGAAGTTCCTGGCAGCATGGACTTCAGCGGTGCCTGCCTCCACGCGCTCTCTCGTGGAGGTGGCAAGAGGAAGAAGAAGGGAAAAGCTGCAAATGGCAGAGTCTCTGCCAGAGAAACAAACAAACAAACAAAAAATCTAGTTGTGCCTAACAGCTTTTTACAATGGAGTAAAAAAGTGTTCTTCCATTTGCTAAGAGCAGTTCTCAGTGTAAAATAATCTTGCCAAAGCCCTATGTGCTGGCCTGTAAGTGAAAATGAACTTTTCTTATTTTCTGGAATTTAAACCCATTTTCTCTGGCTACTCTACTTGGGCTGACAAAGACCCACAGCAGGAA